CGAAAGGACGCAAAAAGTATATTTGCACAAATACTTATCAAAGCCATCATGAAAAAGGGTTGATGCCGAGAGCCAAAAATACTTTCGGGGAGAATACACCCAAGGCTTCACATAATAAGACGCAATAAAGTTTACGCAAAATTCTTAAGAAAAAGGAAGAAAATGCAAAGATTAAAGACTTGCATGAATATTCAAACGAAAGGAAGGCTCAAACAATAATTGAGCAAAAGATATTTTTATTTACAAAAACATGTCAAAATGGCATAGGTACAAGAATTGGAAAAAGAAAAGAAAAAGCTAAACTGCAGTATCTTCTGAATCAAGAGGAAGAGAAGTGTCAGTGCCCCCGAGAGAAGTAGACGGGCCCACCGATGGCTCAACATTTTCACCGGTTTGGCCTTCGGCATCATCATCCTCCGATTCTTATTCAGTTATCGAGAACTCGGAACCCGAACCAGAAGGACCAGGTGCATCAGACATCACTGGGAGTCTACTTTTGTCAGCTAACTCAAGTTCATGGGCCTTAGCAATTTCGGCATCAAAATCAATGACATCAGCTTTGGCCTCTTCCAAGGTTTTTTTCCTCATGTTGTACATAACATAAGTTTTCTCAACAAAGAGGGAAACCGCTCGGCGCTTAATTTCTTCTTTGAGTTAGGTTACCTCGGCGGAAAGGTTTTCCCGGGCAGATCTAGAAGATTTGAGTCTAACATCAAGGTCACAGACAGTTGAACTAAAAAGCCTATTATGCTCGATAGTTTTCCTGTACTTCTCTTCCAGTTGGGCGTGTTTTGCCCCCATAGCTGCAAGCTTTTCAATTTTGGAGTTCAAGGCTGCCTCTAAGTTGATCACTCTTTCAGGGGAGGCAGCATTGCGTTCGGTTGCACCAAGAACGACATTATGGACTTCAACCCGTTTGGCCCTGGCTTCGTTAAATCTAACCCTCAACGGGCCAATTTCTTAGCTAAGGGTTACCACTTCTTGCTCGATTTGCCGCAAACGAGCCTCCAATACAACAACCTTAGCAGCTTTGGCTTCCAGTTCAGAAAGGCGAGCGACATGTTGCTCGTGCTCTGCCAAAAACTGATCCCGTGCGGAGGTAATCTCTTCCTTTTCATGAATCAACCTCTGAAGGCCCTCGGAAGCAAGAAAGTTGGCCAACAAAGTAAGAAGGGTAAAATTCAGGATATGTTCATACCCAAAAATAGAAGAAGTAATAAAGGAAGAAAGTAATGTACCTCTGTAGCGTTGTGCATGGTGTTGTTCAACAAACACTCTCCCGAGAGTGCCTGAATCTTTTCCTAATCTTTCTCTGAAGCCAAAGGCTTCAGATAATTAGCAAGATCCACCGACCGGGATAGCAAGTTGCACCAATAGAGACCAAAATAGTAACATTCCTCCTCCTTAGTGGATTTTCAGAAGGGGCAGCATAATGTTTTCCAGAATTCCCATGAACTGGGGACTGTGGAAGAGGAACACCATCTTCATGGTCAGGTGCAGTCAGTGGAGATGATGTAATAATTGCTGGTGAAAGAGTGGATAAAGATGGAAGTGATGTAGCAATTGCTGGTGTTGGTAAAGATGAAGATGAAGCTGGTGGAGTTGAAGAGTGAGAAGTAGCTATATCAAATACAGTGTTGATTGTTGGATGCTCGCCAACCAAAGATGGAAGGGACCCGGTACTCAGCCCCGCAGTACCGGGCACAACAATTGAGGCCCGAAAATAGGAATTGACATTATCTACCAAATCAAACTCTCCCCAAAGTGTCGAGGCATCGTCCTCGGTTGGTGTAACTGTCTCAACAAGTCGAGCATCTTGTTGAGATGATGAGGATCGCCGTCTTCTATGTAGAGAATCTCACTCATCACTATCTTCTTCATCATCATCGATCGTCACGGTGTCTATGAACGGCCCGGAAGGAGGGCCAGTCACCATCGCTATCAGAGATGACTCGGGGGCATCGGTCCTCGCCCTCTTATTCTTTTCCCTGGCTGCGGATGAGAGTCTTATCTTTGGTTGTTTGTCTTCCATCCAGGGACTCCGTAAAGAAACATTTTCTCCCGAAGCAGGCACGGAGACACCTGTTTGAGTAAGTGCCTCTTGAAGCAGCCTCGCTGCATCAGCAGGATCAGCCAAAACATCCTCCTTGGGAACAACAACAGAGCATGCGGGTAGACCTAATTTTATAGACAAGTTAGAAGGGATCAATCCAGTTCTTCACATGAAAAATTGAAACAAGGTGAGTTTGAATTACCATGGTTCTTGGCCTTCCACCCGTATTTAGGGGCCAGTTCTTTCCACAAGCGAGTTTCGGGCGTCGTAACATCCAAAATCTTTTGTACCCACCGATCCAAACCTTCAACCACCGGTGGGATCCATCGGGTTGCTAAAATGGGCGAAGCATGGAGGATCAATACGACTATAGAAAAATATTTAGTAAAAGGAAATTCTAAACAAAGAGCTTACAAGTGCGGTTCCAAGAGGCCGGAAAGGATGGGGCCATTGCTAGAATGATGTCGTTAGTGGCAGTTGCAACAAACTGTTCCACCCACCCACGATTGTTGTCATCATCCATGCTAGACAGCATAGCATGGTGGCCACGCTTGCAGAGGTTTATCATTCCCCCGCGGAAGATTTTAGGAGAATAGAGATTCATCATATGATCTAAGGTTAGCTCATCTCCAGTCTCCTAGCATAAACGCCGAAGGCAAGCAACTGTCCTCCACATAGAAGGACTTATTTATGCCAAACACACTTGGTAGAGGAGGCAAAACTACGCAATCACAGAGTCAAGCTCTCCGCTCAAAGAGAACACACCCAAAGTAAATGGATACATGTAAAAATATGTAAAACCCTCCTTGGGTAGGGTGACTCCCTCCGATAGATAGGAGCAATAATATCCAAGTCATGGCAGTGACAGTATTCCTTCATAGCAGGAATGCTAGAAGGACATATGGAAGAAGGATACCTACTGTCGGCCTATGCACGAGAGTTAGAAGTAGGGAATTTCTCTTCGAAGTCTTTTGTGGTAATAAGACTTCTAGGGATGATGGATCCCACTGTTGGAGGAGCAGAGTCCTAGGCCTTATTCTTGTTCTTTGAAAAACCGGTACGCTTTGAGGAAGAAGCCATTGTATGGAAGAAGGAGAAGGAATTTTGTTTAAAAAGAATTAGAGAAATGATGAAGAGCAAGATGCAAGTTAGATAACGGAAGCTTGAAAAATTATGAAGTATAAGGGAGAAGGTTGATACGTATATGTAAAGGTTTCGGTGGCTAAATTCATGGCCATGATTACCTCGATAATCGGCAAAAGTTGTACTGAATCATGGGATGATGCGTGTTTGGGGCATTAAATGCGGAGAGACGTGCGTCTAATCAATCATCAAAAGCCTTCAGAGGGAATTATAGTAATTTTCTCCAAAAGAGTGTTTCTACCAACTTCTCGGTAACTCAAAGTTATGTCACCGAAAAGTAGGGAAACTATCTGTATAGGGTAAAAATATGCTATGACATGTGGCTGTCCAAAAAAGGGACACGTGGAACCCAAGACGGGAGGATGGCAGAAGATCGAAGGCAACTGTTACGTTTGTCACCAGAAAGAATAATGCTGATAAATATATGATAAATGCTCTTCGCCGGTAGCATTTAATAGAGAATATTCTATGACATTAAGAGCAATTACCCGTTACAGAAAATTTGGCATTTATGTTCACCGTTACATCTTCATCAATGTCCCTCATAATTGACATTAAAGAAGGGCACAATCCTAGGACCTTTTTCATATCTATAAATAGTGAGTTCAGTTGTCATTGTATACAAAACTCAATACAATCTTATCTTCTTACTTTTTTATTTCATTGGTGTTGCGCCCTGAAACCCTATTCCCGGAACTGTTGCTTCTGCTGTTTCGTCTATATCCTAAGGCTAAGTATTGCATAATTCTTCGATTATTTTATTAATTCAAGATCAAATTAATTTATTTGTCTAGAAATCAGTATTTTAAAAGGCGTGGGCGTAAGGCGGGGCGTTTTACATATGCCTCAGCGGGGCGTAAGCCCCGAGGCGTGGGGCTTACGTCCCATAGGTATTTAATTTTTAATATTTTATTTATAAACAGGTAAAATTGCATAAAAATTGAATAAAACTATATATGTGTGTGCTCCATCTTCACAAAAAACTAATCAAAACAATCTATTATACGTTACTTACAAGCACAAGTAATTTGAGTCTAAAAGAATAAAATTTTCTATATGGAGGAACAAAAAGGATGATTAACCTGCAATTTGAACTTTGAATTTGCTGCTATGAAGAAAAATGTAGTTCTCTTTGTATTTGTAAAAAAATTAATATTCGTTGCTTCTGGGAGATATTAGCAGACTAGCGGACAAGATAAAAAATTGATAAAATCATGAATTAGGGCTTAAATCAATAAAAAAAGGTCTTTACTTTTAAATTTAATACTTTTGAGTTCCTTTTTAAACCTTTTGAGTAATTAACAAACTGACTTTTGAGAATTTGGGTATTATATGAAGGATTAATTCAACAAATTTTGTTTTAATTTTAAAAAGTCTTTGGGGCTTACTCCTTACTAAAAAAAACTCGCCCCGAACACCCGGGCGTACGCCTCTTGAGACTTTCGCCTCACACCATCGCCCCGGGGCGTTTTTGGTACGCCTCGCCCGGGGCTCGCCTCCAGAAACGCCTTTTAAAACATAGCTAGAAACCACGTATAAATTCAACTGTACCGTTTTTTGAGTAAACAACTATCATGTAAATTCATGAGATGGCTATTATATATGTTTTGAATTATTTTACAAATTCCTACATTTCTGAAGTGACCTCAAGGCTTACTGTGGTCCGATCAATATCCTGATCGAACTGCAGAATGGAGATAATACTTAATTTATTCAAATGGTATTGGTTCCTACTTGAAAAGCTGCCTTCTTTATTCAAGTTTCCTGTGCAACTCTGTAGTTTACATCTCCTTAATTGGCAGCCATGAAAAAAGTCCCTCCAATGAAACCTCATTTTTTCAAACCAATTCTGCCTGGTTTCAAGAATGACCTTGTAAGTTATTATACTTTTAATTGTTTCATCTTTCTATATATTATCTGCTATATATGTGGTATAAAGGTGAAGGAGGGAATGTGAGAGACTTTGTAATAGTATATATTGTCACTTCCTAAAAAAAATATAAGTAACAATCATTTTGGGACAAGTATGCTACTTAAAACTTAACAATTTGTTGTATTGCAGAAAATACCTATAAGTTTCTTGAAGTATCTGAAGCAACACGAACATATTGAACATGCAATACTGAGAAGAAATGGTAAGAAGTGGATGGTGAAGGTGAATATGGCTCTCGATTCGAAGATGGTTGGACAGAATTTGCAGAAGAGCATGATTTGCAATTGGGAGATATGTTGGTGTTTAGACATGAAGGTAATATGGAGTTTGATGTTTCCATATTTGCATATTTTTCTTAAGTGACTTTGGGTGTAATTAACAAATGCAACAGAAAAACCAAAGGCTGACATCAAGGCATCAGGCAAGGCTTTCCCCAATGTAGAAGCTGCTAATAAGGAGATCCATATCAGTCACTCTCATCTCATTTGTACTATCAGACCTTATTGCCTTTCAAAGCATTTTCTGGTAAGTTCACAATTCCTGTATGTATAAGCTTATGAGAACAATTATATCTTTGACAATTTGGAAGTGTAAAACATACATGCATGCATGCATGCATACATACATACATACATATATATTGACTGTTTATTTGCAATTGGTTATAAACTTTTCAGCACATTCCGAGACAATTTGCACTAGATAACAGACTCAACAACAGGAAATGTACGATAATTATGAGGGACAAGCGAAGGTTATGGACACTTAGCAGGTATAAAAGTTGTAGAAAAACCTACATTGGACGCGGATGGCATGAATTCTGCACTGACAAGTGCTTAAAGGAAGGAGATCGTGTAATGTTTGAGATAATTTCCAATGGAGAGACACCTATATTTAAATTTCATGGCAAGTTTCTCATCTTAAATTTCATTCTGCTTTCTACCGTTTAATTAAGACAAAATACATAGTTTACCCATCGACCTTGCAGCGAAATCCCTTGTATACACCTCTCGCTCACGGAAAATTTTTTACACACTCAACCTTTCAGAAGTGTGTCTAAGACACACCACTTTTGTGCTTGACAAAATTTTCAAATAACGTGAAAGTCATGCCCTAATAGGGTCGTGACACGTGTAATTGACCTTAAAAATAAAAAATATATATATATTAGAAATTACAATTAAAATCCATCTTCATCTTCCCATTTTCTATCTTAAGCACCATTGTTGCTGCCACCATAGTTGTTTGTGAGAAAGTTTCCAACAACACCAAAATTCAACCACACTATCTAAACAACTAGCCAAAAATAATCGAGCAACAAATTGAGTTCAACAACCCAATAATCAACAAGACCCAATTGAATTTACAAGCTTTTTTTGATACCTCAACAATGGTGGATTCTAGACGTTTTTACCAAACCTTCAATACTACTGTTAAAACTTTTAAATCTATCGCAAATAAATAATTTTCACAATATTTAGACAATAAACCAACAAAAATCGCTCAATTTTAGATCTAAAATTTTATGTTCTTTCAAAAATTCTATTTGAGCAAGAAGATGGGAGGAGGGTGGTCTGAGGAAGAAGACCAGAGGGAGGGGTTCCTGTGGGGAAGGGACACAAAAATGGGATTTTTGACGAGCTTCACGTATGTTTTTGCGTGTGTAAACACGCAAGTGCTATCTGGTCAAAAGTAGTGTGTCTTAGACACACTTTTGAAAGGTTGAGTATGTAAAAAAAATTTCGTGAAGGAGGTCTGTAACAGAAATTTCGCTATAAGGTTGATGGGTAAACTATGTATTCTACCTTTAATTAATTACAGACAGAGGGAGGGGAGGGGTTCCTGTGGGGAAGGGACATAAAAATGGGATTTTTTACGGGTTTCACGTATAATTTTGTGTGTGTAAACACGCAAGTACTATCTGGTCAAAAGTAGCGTGTCTTAAACACACTTTTAAAAGGTTGAGTATGTAAAAGGCCTTCCGCAAAGGAGGTGTGTAATAGAAATTTCGCTACAAAGTTGATGGGTAAACTATATATTCTACCTTTAATTAATTACATGATACAACACTAGTTTAATATCCAGATTAATTAACTACATGTTAGATGAAATGAATTCATAGTTTGGTTCTAATATGATATATATATAGAGAGAGAAATTTTTGGTTTAATTTTTGGTTCTAACTACATGTGTGTGTGTTGGAAGATCTCTTAATCCAAAATAAAAAAGACGTATGATATTTTCAAATATCTAGAAAAGGGCATTCCTTGACAGGGCTAAGCTAATACCGGAAGCTAATAATGGTGGAAAGTTATTATCCAAAGGTGGAAGTTCAACCCATAGTTGCACTTAATTACTCTGTCAGTTTCAATTTATACGATAAAGTTTGACTTGACATAAAATTTAAGGAAAAAAAAAGATTTTTGAAATATTTGGTCCTATAAGCTTAAGAAGCAAAAATTTTATGGGTCCGTGACACTTGTGTTATTATAAAAGCTTGTCATTTATGATAAAGTGAGTAAAATAAAAAGTTAAAACTTTAAAGTTAAACTATTTCCAAATATATAAATGGATCATTAGACTAATAAGAAAAATGTGTCATTTAAATTGAAACGGGTGGACTAGTATATATCCTCACCTCCTATTTCATACTTATTGTCATCAGAATGAATCTTTTCTGCTTCAACTTAGTGTTCTATTTTTGGTTTGAATCCATCTTCAGTTTCAGTTATGACGTTTTTTGTTTCTATTAAAAAAACTAGATTTGAGAGGAAGTCCACCCCTCCATCCTGAAGTAAAGAAGAAGAACATGAATTTGGATGCTAAAAGAATCTCAGATGAAGGTCTGGATATTACAAGCAAACACTTCTACTTGTCTGATATATATACCCTTGGCTTCCTTTCCATTTCTGATTGTAATGTTTCTTCTTGGTTACTTGAAAGGAATAAGAGACCTTAGGATTAAGACAACGGACGCGACTGCTCCAAAAGTACAAGTACCTGCTTTAACATCTACTGATGCTAACCCTCATTTTGTATCTACTGTTAAACATTATGCCATCAAATATCATGCTTTGGTAAGTGATTTGACCAAGTTTAAATAAAAAGCTTAGCTAATTGTAGTAGTTTTTTTTTGTGTGTGTGATAACAACGCGGCATTGATCTCTATATTGGGATAAAATTTGAGCAGTATTTTCCGTTGGATTTTGCAAAATCAACTGGCCTGATGAATAGACACTGTGAGATAACTCTTGTCGATGAAAAACGGAGATCATGGTCAGTGTGGCTAGGGCCAATGGGACATCACTTTGGAATTAAAAGGGGATGGCGAGAGTTCGTACAAGAAAATGGTGTCCAAATAGGAGATACTTATAAGTTTGAACTCATCAACAATGGCAGAATACCTATAGCGCATTTCCATTGTGAGTATATATGTTGTTGTTTTTCCTCTGTCCCTTTTGTTATCAGAATATGGGAGTTTGTTGTGGAACCAAAGAAACAATTGTTACTGAGATTTTAAAATGTTATGTTAACTTTTGAAGATACACAAAATCTTAAAGGTTCAAATAGTGTCGATTGTTGATATTTTAAAGATACACAAAATATTTTGATATTTTATTATGTGGCAAATTTCCTAACATTTGCTTTATGATGAAATTTTTTCATATAAAAGATCTACCAGCTTAGACTTCCATGATCCTAGCTATAATGGTTTTATACAATCAACTCCTTGAAATTTCGAATAATAACTGAGGCCATGTTTTGTTTTTATAAATTGTAGGTATTTTCTGGGAAGGATGCCAAGAATCACCCTCAGAAGACATTGACAAGATGCTGAAGCAGTTGGTGATGGGCAAGGAAACAAGCACTGAAGCAAGTGAATATAATCTTTTTGGATTTTGTACATGCTGCTAAATTTTTAAAAAACTACTTTCTGTATGATGTGTTCTACTTTTGTTTTGAAAATACCCTTTCATACACGACTAGGAATTAATTAGATTAAGGTAGCCTTTTGGATTCTTGCCCATTGTAATCAAACCAGAATTTTAAGGAACATAAATTGAGTTCCCGTGGTCTTCCCGGCCTTTGGTCTAGTGGTAAGAAATGCAACATGTAAATTTGTAAGAAATCAAACATGTAGCAGATTCAAATCATCTTGTAGACAAGAGTCTTATGTTTAACTATTTAAAATTATTTAATAAGTTATATTTCTTTTGTTTGTAATAGAAAGTCACTTAGCTTAGCTATTTATATAATACTTAAAAGATCACTCAACTAAATTTCTCAAATTTTTGATGTCCATATATCTATTTTACTTTCTAAATTGAAGTAACATTTATCTCTTTTTAATACTTTATAATTTTATGAGTCTTCTCTCTTTTTACTCTATATTATGGATTTACCAATAGAATAGTTAAATCTTACTTATAAAGTAAAAAAAGAAAAAAAATCAGGCATATATAAAGTTGGAACAAAATAATTAAAAAAATTATTAAGTATTTATAAAATATATTATAAATATACCTCTATTTTAAATAATTATTTTTTATATTACATACATAAAATATATCCTTTAAAAGCTTTTATTTTCTTTCACTTTCAATTGTATAAATAAATTTTTGACTTTAAATAATTGTTTTACTTGTAAAATTTATTTATTCTATAGATAAGTCCATTATAATATATATATATATACACACACCAAATAGAACCAACTGGATTGGGGTTTTTATATATATCCCAGACAGTAACATACGAAATATAAAAATCATAGTCTAAAATATATGGCTTTTCAATGCTTTGAGTGGTTGAATATAGGCTAATAAAGATAAGGGGTTAGAGTTATTTGGGAGATAGTATCATATACCGAGGATTCTGGGGATCACTACTAGTATTGGAATTTGGAAGGGGTATTAATTAGGAGGATTAGATTGATGTGTAGTTAATATAGGCTCTAGTGATGGTAATGAATCTAATGATTGATTTTGCATGGAAGGGGAGACGCCAGCAAGGCTGTTTTCCCTTCTCAAGAAAAACTTTACCAGAAGTAGAAAGCTTACATTTTTCCAAATTAACCAGTCTGTTGCACATGCAGTAATCAGTATGAATAATTAATCACAGTATTATTATTCAAAAAATAATTAATCACAGTATAAAATTCTGCATGATATAATAAAGTGTTTGGATGGCGATACTAAATAATATCCACAATAAATTATGTGAGAATTTATGTATTACTTTGTGCGGGATACAATATGAAAAAGAATATATATATTAGTAATACAAGAATTAAACTATTTAAAGATAAAAATATTTATTAGTAATTACCATATAAATAATGTCTAAACTGATAATATCTACCTAAACAATTTCTACATTACTAATTCTTACATAACTTGTGAAACAATCGACCTCTGATGTTGGTATTAGTTATTGCTTCATGTGGCGAGTTGCTCATATTTTAATTCCTGTTTTTGAAACTTAATTACAATGAAAAATTTTCATATCCCAAGTCTATAAGAAGCAATTCTTCTTTGGGTTTCTTCAGTTCTATTATATTTGTCTTGAGATATTGTTGGCTAACTTGTTTCGAAACATTTTTCGAATTGGCTCTTACAATTAAGTAGGCGTTTGAACATACAAAATGTAATTAAGTTAAAAATTGATATTTGAAATTTGTTTGTATATGCATTTCACTTTTTAAAAATATGTTGCAGGTTTGTGAGTGGAAAAAAAAAATTCCGAAAAACTTGAAAAAGTGGTTTGGTTTTCGAAGAACTCATTTTCGAACAATCTCCAAAAACTTACAAATTTTTATGGACAAACACTTTTTTGAAAAAACAAATCCATAAAAAAAAAATATATATATATATATATATATATATATCATGGACAAACGGGTCCTAAATTTACCACAACTTATGATACCTTATGCGAAAAACCTACCTTAATACCGGCTAGTAACAAAAGTGTGTGTATATTCAATTATATACATTTTGAAGTATTTTACATTTCCTACTTTTCTGAAATGACCTTTAGGCTTCCTGTGGTCAGATCAAATAGCCTGATTGAACATTGAAGTGCACCATTAATTCTTTGAAAACCCACCTGCATATTCTTTCGTTTCTATCTTAGCAAAAACAAAAAGAACACCTTTTCTTCTCTAGTAACTACATCTCCTTAATTGGCAGCCATGAAAAAAATCCCTCCAAAGAAACCTCATTTTTTCAAACCAATTCTGCCTGGTTTCAAGAATGGACTAGTGAGTTATTATACTTTTAATTTTTTCACCTTTCTATGTATTATTATCTGCTATATGTATGTTATAAAGGTGAAGGAGGGGGAATGTGAGAGACCTTGTAATAGTATATTGTCACGTCCGAAAAAAAGATATGAATCATACTTTGTGACATGGCTATTTTAATTACACATATTTTTTTACTGCAGAAAATTCCTGTAGGTTTCTTGAAGTATCTGAAGGAATATAAGAATGAACATGCAATACTAAGAAGGGGTAGTAAGCAATGGGCGGTGAAGGTGAACGGCCGTCGATTCGAAGCGGGTTGGGTTGAATTTGCACAAAAACATGGTTTGCAGTTAGGAGATATGTTGATCTTCAGACATGAAGGAAAAATGGAGTTTGAGGTTGTCATATTTGATTCAAGTGGGAGTGTCAGAGAATATTTGCAAGAAGAAGTCCATACTGTTGAAGAGACTTCTAAGAATTTTGAATTTGAAGGTGAAGTCTTTAAGGCCTGCTTGTTATGGAAATTAAACTATAACTAAAATACATGTTTTCATTAATTAGTCCGATAAATAACAATAGCAACAGGAGTATATATTAAGGTGAGGGATCGGGGAATTATTAAAGCTTTTTGTCCCATCTTTTCACTTTAATCACTTGACTTACTATATAGTATTTATATAATATAGAATTTTATGCTCTATGCCGATAGTACCCGGTTCAGATGAACCCGGCGCGAGTACTCTATACATCCGCCCCTCAACACATAAATGATCATCTGGGAAAATATGAGCTTTGGCCCTCTGTTGATGTTAAAGAAAAACCAAGAAATCTGTCTTCTTTGAGTGTACAACAACAACAACTCAATATAATCTTACTAGTGAGGTTTGGGGAGGGTAGTGTGTACGCAGACCTTACTCCTACCCTGAGGTAGAGAGGCTGTTTCCGATAGACCTTCGATCGGCTTCCTCCCTACAAGAACTCCTCACCTTGCTCTTGGGTGACTGAACTCACAACCTTCTTAGAGTGTAATTTTCCGTATTTATTTTCTTGACAATGTAACAGAAAAGCCAAGCCCCAGCATCAAGTCGTCAAACATGGCTTCTTCCCATACAGAAGCAGCTACTCATGCCAAGCTGCCTTTTGGTCAATCTCATTTTGTATGCACTATTAGATCCTATTGCCTTTCGAAAGGTTTCTTGGTAAGTCTTAAAACTCATTTCACGCAAACTCTCTACCACTGGGCTAAAAGAAGTATATGTGCGGCGGATTCAAGATTTTAAGTTTATGGGTTCTACAAAAATCTCAAGTTAATATACAATAATAACTGGATTGACGGACTAGGTTCCAAGCTAAAAATTCTTATACATTTAATAAATTTTTCAATACAAACAGAAAAAAAGTTAATGGGTTCACGAGAACCCGTAACTATTGTACTGAATCCGCCCCGTGTGCACCATTTTTTTTATTTTTTTCTCTTTAGTTTGTTTGGTTATATATTCGAAGAAAACATGAAGAAACTATTTAATGATGTATGCAAATGGCTATACACCATGTCAGTGCCTTCCTCAGCAATTTGCAAAACCAAATGGTCTCACGAACAAGAAATGCGATTTGATTATAAGAGATGGAAGACAAAGGTCGTGGAATTTAAAGTTAAGTTTTAGTCGTAGACCTCGAGTCTATATAATTGGAGATGGATTGCGTAAATTCATTGTTGATAATTGCTTAGAGGAGGGAGATCGTATAATGCTTGAGGTTGTTACTAATGGAGAAACACCAATATGGAGATTTCAAGTTGTTACTAATGGAGGGACTCCAATAAGGAAGTTTCAAGGCAAGTTTCTCATCTTATAACCAGACTCTTATTTGTTTGATGATTTTTTCTATTATTATCATATGTACTATACCATATTCTGTATGTGTAGAATTTTTTTCTTCTTTTTGGTTGTCTAAAGTGTGTGAAACAAGGAATTTACACATTATGTTTCCTCTCTATGTATAAATACAACAACAACAACCCAGTATAATCCCACTAGTGGGGTCTGGGGAGGATAGTTTGTACGCAAACCTCACCCCTACCCTAGTGTAGAGAGGCTATTTCCGATAGACCCTCGGCTCCCTCCCTCCAAGAACTCTCCACCTTGCTCTTGGGGTGATTCGAACTCACAACCTCTCTATGTATAAATAGTGTAGTTAAAATGTAATGTAAAGGGTACTTTTTAGTTACTTCTTGATACAACTAGAGTGCTTCATCTTAACTGACTTTAAATCAAACTCTAATTAAAGTGCAGTTTCAAAGACCAGTCCCGGTCCTCAACTTTCTTCTTACACCTCTACTGCGAAGGCTTTTTTTAAAAAAAATTATTATTAATCTGTGGAATTAACTTAAAATCTAGTCAAGTTCAAATTCAAACTGTTGAACTTTATTTCATGTCATATTCTGTTCTAATTAAATCATTTCCTTCCAACATGATTTGGGACAACAGACATTAGGAAAAAGCCATCAAACATGAGTCCTCTCAATGCACACGTATCTACTACAAATTATGGTGATGATAATGATCGTCCTTATTTTATTTCAACCATTAAACCTTATTGCACCAAGAAGTCAGTTTTGGTAAGTGCTTTGAACTTATTTTAGTTTTTGTTTTTAATTTCTTTGCCTTTTTTGTTTTTGTGGTGACAACTGATCAAAGCTTGTTCTACATAATGGTAGTATTTTCCACTGGATTTTGCAAAGTCAAATGGATTGATGAATAGAAAGTGTGAGATGATTTTGAAAGATGAAGAACAAAGATGTTGGACAGTGTGGCTAGGGAGAGAAGCACATCATTTTGGAGTTGTAAGTGGATGGTCAAAATTCAGAACAGCAAATGGTCTCCAAGTAGGAGATGCTTACAAGATTGAACTCATCAAGAATGGAGAAATACCTATAGCTCACTTCCATTGCAAGTGTTCTTCACTTTTAATATATTTTTATCGAGTTTAAGTTCTATGCTCTAGCAGTGCAAAAAGATGTTTACATAATCATGTCATTTATAAGGTAACTTCAAATAAGCCCCTTTCCGTTTTACGGTTTCTATGTATCATTTCTCATAATTGTGTTATTATTATTGCAAATGGTTAATTTAAAAGGTATTTACGTGTTTGTTATACTTTGAAATTATATTATATTACATTACTAAGGATGTCATATTGAACACATTACACAATGGGCTCCCTAGCCAGATGTTGTAACAACTTTCATAATAATGTATTTGCAGGCAAATATTCTGAAAAGGTTGCAAAGAGGGAGGGACAGTAGTGAAGCAACTTGACTTTTGGGTTCCTTTTTTTTTTGGGTCAAAATTTTGTTAATCCAATATATGTGCATAACCTCAAAATTTTCTTCTACAAATCTCCATGTAAGTTATTTGTCTGAGAACTGCTACTCGAAAGACTTGGAAGTAATGACTTGTGGTTGTATAAACTACTAGGATATTTTGTACCATATGGCCTTTCCTAAGGTCATTTGTTAAATTATGTTCTCATTAGTTCAGTGTGCTAAATTTCATCTTTTAAAGTTGCAGGTTGAATTTTTCTTTTTCCATACAAATTTAAACCACTGAGTTAATGAGGATCATATATGGATTGATTAAGGACATGTTCTTGATGCCTGATATATAGTTATTTAGCAGACTAACTCCACTTAATTAGGGCTCTAAACTACGGTTTTGAGGTCTTTTTGAATAAGCATCATAAAATTAGGTTGTTCAGTTCTATGTTTTTTTAATTGCTATTCTATAATCAAATATAATCAGTTTTTCTGATTCAGTACCATGTCCTTCATATTTATATTTTTTTTTAAAACGAAAAACCTTCCATGTGGTAGGTTCCATAATAGTATTACATTATTATGAATGTTTGCAGAGCATTCTCTAATTGACATTATACGAGAGATTGCTGCAAACTCTCGTATTTGCTGAATGTCGGATGATGTCCTCTTCTTTTTCATTCTTTTATTATTTTATATTTTCGTTTCAATTTGGGTCACAATCTTTTGAATTAATGATCAATGCTATACTTAGGGGCCGTTTGATTTCATAAATTAGGCATTATAATACCAGCATCAAATTTAACATTAACAATATAGAAGTCATTTGGTATGATAGATAAATAAAAATAATCATGGGATAAAAATTTAGTATATATCGCTTATCCATTATTTGGTTACTAATCCTGGAATAAGTTATCCTAGGATTACAAATTACCGGGAGTTATACGTGCCAGAGGCTGGAATAGTAATCCCAGGATAAAGCAATAAAATTGACAATCCCAGGGTTAATACAACAAACACAGTAAAAAATAATACCAGAATAACTAATCTCAATATAAGTAATCCACAGTGTTTTGATACCCAACATAGATGAATCGTTTATGATGGAGCACCAAGATATGAATTATGATGCAAGTCGCGAGATGTAAATCTCCATCGGCTGTCACTTTAACCCCGGCACATAATCGACCTTGCTTTGCATATCTTTCAGTTGTGAATATATCAGATCCTAAGAGTTGTGCAACTGGGTGTTCCTTACTATATCTTCACAGCTCGACTGCCCCTTTGCCGTTGACAAAATCCATGACTTCCAACATATCACATAGTCTTTAAAGTTATGTAATGTGCAACAAACTTCTGGTTCTTCGAAACTGAAAATCATTTTGCAAATGAAAAGGTGAATATCAGTTTCTGATGGACGGTATACGAGAGTAAGTTCTTTCGTATAAGATGGCCATCACGATAGTATCTATCTGTGACATTCAAGTTCAGTTCTGTAAATTAAATCCAAAGCGCTCACTTTCTCAACATCTGCAGGCTCTCGCCTCTGCTTAGCCAACTGTTGATCAAACTGGGCAACTGCTGCATAAACTCCTCAGCAGATGCACTGACCTGAAAACATGGAGATACAATTCTAACCGTGATGTAAGAAAGTAACACACATTTCCAGAAGGTTACTTTACTTGAAGATCTATTGAAGATACAAACAGATCTCTTATTTATTTATCATTTTGTATTTAAAGTAGGGAGTGTAGAATGCCGAGTATTTGAAGGAATGATGGTATGGAAAAGTAGAAAGTTCCTTTTTTCCTCTAGAAAGTTACTTGCCGTAGCTAGTAAAAGTTACTGTCATGTGACCAGGAGGTTACGAGTTCGAGCCGGGGAAACAACCTCTTGCAGAAATGCAAGATTTCTGCAAGATAAGGTTGCATACAATAGACCCTTGTGGCCCGGCTCCTCCCCGGACCTCACGCAGCGGGAGCGTAGTGCACCGGGCTGCCCTTTATTCTTGATCTTGGATTGATGCTCTACCTGGGGGAATGGAGATTACCAGATAGAGGAGAATTTTTCCCTTACTTGATGAATCTTGATGTGGAAGCATGTAAATTAAGTTGAGAACTACGCAAATTTTTTCCAACTATAGGGGATTGATGCTCAAACATCACACAGCAAAGCCAAAGAATTTTAGGAACATGACCTTGCAAAAGAATCCGATTAACGATTTGAACAAAGGAAATAACAATTAAAGTATTCATTTTTTTGGCAAAACCATAATACATAAAAACGAATATGATAATCAATTATTTGGGAGAAAGGCCAGTCCTTCATTCACATTGAAAAATTGAGTAAACTAATTAAAGAAACAACATACTTTAGTTCAGAGAACCATTTTAGAGCCAATTAAACTGTAAAAGGAACCACCGTAAATGAACAAGTCAAAGAACAAATTTTGAGTATAGCATAGAACTTCAAAGGCTAACATTTGTATCCAATGCAAGACTTGAAGATAAGCTTTTGGAAAACGGGTAAGATAGAAGTTGCTCATGCGGGTAAAGCAGTTCAGTCTATTGACCAAAACAAACCTTGAACATGGTTATACATCACTTTTCAGGGCAAAGTTGTTATAATCATTCACTTTGATCGGAAATGCCTGTGGAATGTCATGGATTTTCATTTTTCAGTGACAATATTAGTCTTGCCTGCACTTCTGAAATCGTTTCAAAATGGCAGATTAACTCTTTGGCCTCCATAACTTAAATAGTGGCTATTACTTCATCGTAATTTCCCTCAATTTCTAGTATTATCTTTTCATTTTAGAGTTTACTAATTTTCAAGTTCAAATACCTGATTTTGCGAGTACTTTAAGGTAAGAATTGAATTATGATCGCATGATTCCAGGATCTGATTGGAGTATCGAAAATTTAAACTTGTTCACATCCTTTTCAACTCACCATGGTAAATCATGGCTCAGCACAAGTGGACAGATGGAGAATCAATTGACAAAACTCATTTTTGATATGTACATCACCCATTGATGAGCTCCTGTCAAGGGGAGAAGAAGAAACAAAACAAAAAGGAAAAAAGAAAGAATGAGAGGAAAAAATTTATTAGTTTTGGAAGAAGACTTGATAGCTAATAGAAGGAAAGAATTATATAAAAAGAGGGAACACAATTTCACTACCAACTAGAATAAACCAAGTAATGAGGTATATACCTATTATATTTTAAGCTAAAACCCTGGGTTTACAAGAAAGAGCTGTGAAGTTTCTGAAGACACTGGCCACTCTCCCCCGGAGAGTAGAATGTGACCTTTGTTTCTTATAAGAGGAGCAACTGGCTTCATTGGTCATGGAATCATAGTGTTCACTATTGTCATATCTGCCCGTCCTTATCCCAATGCAATGTTCTGTTGGTTCATCATTATTTTCCCTCATTTGTAACAAGGCCTGAAGCTCAGTTTCATCTTTATACAACAAATGAAGTCCAAACTCCTTCATTTCTCCACAAAAAAGTAGCCTAATAAGTCCATAGTCATTTGGTGTTTTTCCATTTGCCTTAGATGTATCCCATAAGCCAGCAAGAGTTAAAAGGAAAAAATGAATAGTTGATTCTGTATCATATTTTGAATGGTTGCATAAGGCAAGTTTCTGGGTCATCCACGACATCTCATCATTACATAAGGGAATCAATTGAGCTGTGATCTCAATTAGGCTGCCAGAGTAACATACAGCAAATCCCAAGAAGTTATCATGTACATACCAATTTTCAGGCAAATTGACTGATACACTTGTATCAATTCCGTGATAGTCGAACCAACTCGGGATCTTCTTCCCAGGATGCTCAATGGTAAAAACTCTCTGTGACAAGGAATCTGAAGCAGAGATGTCATGCTGCAAGGAAACGATATTCTGAAACAGGCTATGTGCAAACAAATTATAGATCGAATCATTGTACGCGTCATCCTTATCGTACAGCGGTGTGAATATCAGCCACTGTAATTTCTTCTTCCTGGTTGCTAAATTATGAATACTTTTCAGAACCATATGACAATCTGCATGCAATTCGTCTAAATCCGGTGGAAGTTCTGGCAACTGTGTAAGACTCCTGCACTCTGTTAAGTACAAAGATCGAAGCGCACCAAGTTGGGTTATGCTTCTAGGCAAATGCTCAAAATTATTTCCCCTGAGATACAATACTTCCAAAGAGGATAAGCATCCAATGTCTTCTGGAAGTCCTCCATCCATTAGATTACAGTAACTGAGATTCAAAATTTCCAATGAGTGTAATCCTTCAGCCACCGGAGGGAACACAAAGTTCACTTCATCTTCAAGGCCTACTTCTGATTTTTGTTTTGCGAAGCTCAAGAATCTAAGCTTGTTCAACCGAAAAATAGAAGATGGAGGTTGTGAGATTAGAGTATCTCTGGCATCAAGCCGCTCCAAGTTTTGTAAATCCCCTATAGCTTCTGGAAAGCTTACAAGCTTTGAGCAACCTGATACATCTAGATTAACCAAACTTTTCAACTTACAAATGCTGCTGGGAAGTATTACAAGGTTCTCTAAATCTCTCAATTCTAGATCCCTTGTCACACTGTCGAGCATGTGAATATCTGACTCAAATTTCATGCTTCCCAAGATTTCTGGAAAATTTTCTAAATTGGAGCACTCATGTAGATACAGATATTTAAGGGAATCGATGCACAGAGCTGGAAACCTCTTAAGGCGTTTACAATTAGTCAATTCTAATGTACAAAGCTTTCTGAAAAATCCTAGGGAATGATGAACCTCTTCAAGATTTATACAATTTGACAGATTCAAAGTCTCCAAATTTGGCATCCCTACGAAATCTGGCAACTCTTTTAGCCTCTTGCAATTTGTTAAGTCCAAGGATCGAAGAGCACCAAGTTGGGCTATACTTGGAGGCAAATGCTCAAAATTATTTCCCCTGAGATACAACACTTTCAAAGAAGATAAGCATCCAATGTCTTCTGGAAGTCCTCCATCTATTACATTGCAAAAACTGAGATCCAGATCATCCAATGAGCGTAACCCTTTGTTCACCTGAGGGAAAACAAAGTAACCTGCAACTTGGCCTTCTTCTGATTCTAACTGTCCAAAACTCAGAAATTTAAGTTTGTCCAAGCATACAATGGAAGACGGAGGTCGTGAAATTAGAGTACGTCTGGCATCAAGCTTCTCCAAGTTTTGTAAATCCCCTATCTCTTCTGGCAACATTTCAAGTTTTGAGCAATCCGACACATCTAGCTTCACCAAGCTTTTCAACATACCTATGCTGCTTGGAAGAGCTACAAGGTTTTCTAAACAGCTCAAATCCAGTTTAGTAATATGAGTTTGTAACTGGATATATGATGGTAGTTCCCTTATCCCAGAGTATCCCATGTCAATCTCTAACTCCAGCTTCATTCTTCCTACGATTTCCGGAAATTTCTCTAAACTATAGCAACCATGTAGATACAGATATTTGAGAGATTCCACGTTGACACATGGAAACCTCTTCAGGCGTCTACAGTAATTCAAATTCAACCGAATGAGTTTTCTGGAACATCCCAGGGAATGGTGAACCTCTTCAAGATTACTACATTTCTCCAGATCCAAATACTCCAAATTTGGCATCCCCGTGAAATCTGGTGTGCATATCAGGCTTGTAGAGACGCTGAGACGTAGCTTTCGTAGATACCTCAAATGCTGTTCAGAACATAGAAAGAATGAGATAGATAAACAAGAGCAACCAGGTAAAAGAATCATCATAAAAATATGGTGCTGCCTAGGATTTCAATAGTACAAGTCATGCCTAGTGGGCTATCTGTGAATCTAGCATTTATTTGGCTAAACACATATACAGCCCCTAAAGCTACAGCTACTTTTTCATTTAGACACCTTTTGTTACTTTGGGTGCACCTCTACGACTCAAGAGGGGAGTGAATTGGGTCGTACCAAATTTTCGCGATCTCCTAAAATTAGCCTAACTTTTGCTCCACGAACCTGGTTTCCTATTGAACACCTAAGGCATATATATATATATATATATATATATATATATATATATATATTCTCATATCTTACTAGGAAAATGTTTGAATGAGTTTTAAAATTGAGCTTTTTAGTTAAAATGATGATAAGAAGATCTGGAAAAAATCCTCTCAAAAAAGATCTGAGAAAAAGACATTATAATACTCTGAGAACAACCCCAAAATAACACATCAATTTGAGTTTTTCTAATTACTCTCTTCATCCCAATTTATGCGACGTGTTTGATTAGGCACAAATTTTAAGAAAGAAAGAAATACTTTTGAAACTTGTAATCTAAAACAAACCATTAATGTGTGGCTACAAATCATCTCATTAACGGTAAAATAAAAAATTAAAATTAAATTGTTTCTACATAAAAAGGTGTCATTCTTTTCTAGACAAACTAAAATTAAAAGTATGCCATACGAAATGGGACAGATGGAGTAACTTTTTCATTTAAGGACATGCATCATGATAAGAATGTGACACTAACACTTAAAAGGTAAGTTCTATGGAGTGGTGGTTAGACCAACTATGCTATATGGGGCAGAGTGTTGGCCAGTCAAAAACTCACACGTTCAAAAGATGAAAGTAGCCGAAATGAGGATGCTTAGATAGATGTGTGAGCAATACTAGGAGAGACAAGATTAGGAGTGAAGATATACGAAGCAAGGTGAGAGTGGCCTCTGTGGTGGACAAGATGCGGGAAGCGAGGCTGAGATGGTTCGGGCATGTGACGAGGGGAGCACAGATGCCTCAGTGATAGCTCTAAGAAAAGGTAGAGGTAGATCGAGGAAGAATTGCCGAGATGTGACTAGACAGGACATGACACATCTTCAGCTCACCGAGTATATGACCCTAGATGGGAGAGCATGGAGGTTGAGGATTAGGGTAGAAAGTTAGTAGGTAGTCGAACGATTTCTCTCTTTTATGTGGGAGAGTATGGTTCTAGTTTAGAGCACATTATATTATTATTATTATTATTATTATTATTATTATTATTATTATTATTATTATTATTATTATTATTATTATTTTACTTTGAATATCTTAACTACTTTTGTTGTCATTATTTTTCTTTTCTTCAATATTTTCATTTTAGCTTTTTTGCTCTAGTATTTTTCAAATTTGTTCTGAAAACACTTTTCTTGAGCCGGGGGTCTATCATAAACAACTCCTCTACCTCACACAAGTAGGGGTAGGTATGCGCACACACCACCCTCTCCAGACCTCACTTGTGGGATCACGGGTATGTTGTTGTTGCATCATAATTCTTGGACAAGCTAAACGGAAAGTATCTCAAATAAAAAAAGCGATAATATTTGCTCAATATCACTATATTAAAGAAAACAATTAAGAGGGAGGGNACTCGATAGAGCCATCATGGCAATTGATAGAACATATGTACAATATCCGAAGTCGTTTCATATTTTTCATGGCCTCTTTGTTAAAGCATAGTTTTTTAAAATAAAGAATCCAGATTGCTTCTATTGCCTTGGTCCCCTGGTAAAAAGAACATTAGTCTACAAAGTATAACTTCAAATGTCATGTAAAATCTGGTTGCCAATATGACTATTTTCTCAATCCTTGTAATGCCAAATTTTGTCATGTTAGTAGTATTTATTATTGCACTTGAATATCTTGAAGAACTACCGCCACTAAAAAAATCTAAGGTACAACTTTTTTTTTTTTTGATAACCATGGTGTTCGGATGGTGGGAGGGGTCTCGGACCATTTTCCTGTCATGATGGGGTTGCATCAGGCGTCGCTACTCAACCCTTTTTTGTTTGCCCTGGCGATGGGCGTACTGACTCGCCACATCCAAGGGGAGGTACCGTGGTGCATGTTATTTGCAGACGATATTATTTTGATTGACGAGACGCGAGACGGTATTAACGCGAGGTTAGAGGTGTGGAGACAGACCCTGGAGTCTAAAGGTTTCAAGCTGAGCAGAACCAAGACAGAATACTTGGAGTGTAAGTTTAGTGATGCTACTCAGGGAGTGGAAGGGGAGGTGAGGCTGGATTCACAAGGCATTTCTAGGAGGGGGAGTTTTCAGTACCTTGGGTCTATTATACAGGGGGATTGAGAGATTGATGAAGATGTCACACATCGTATTGGGGCGGGATGGATGAAATGGAGACTTGCTTCTGGTATTTTGTGTGACAAGAAGGTACTACCAAAACTTAAAGGTATATTTTATAGAGCGCTGGTCAGACCGGCTATGTTGTATGGGGCTGAGTGTTGGCCAGTCAAGAGCTCTCACGTCCAGAAGATGAAGGTAGCAGAAATGAGAATGTTAAGATGAATGTGCGGGCACACCAGATTAGATAGGATTCGGAATGAAGTTATTCGGGACAAGGTAGGTGTGGCCCCTATTGAGAACAAGATGCGGGAAGCACGGCTTAGATGGTTTGGACATGTGAGGAGGAGAAGCACAGACGCTCCGGTAAGAAGGTGTGAGAGGTTGACATTGGAGGGCCTTAGGAGAGGTAGAGGTAGGCCGAAGAAAGTTGGGGTGGGGTGATTAGGCATGACATGGCGCAGCTACAGCTGACCGAGGACATGACCCGTGATAGGAAGGTGTGGAGGTCGAAGATTAGGATAGTAGATTAGGTAGTCTAGATTATTCATACCGGTAGTGTTAGTGGTTAGTAGTAGGCTTATTTGAATACCTGTCGTTTTTGTTTTTTCGATCATCTTACTATCTTGTTGTGTATGCTTCTTTTACATGGTTTTTCGGTGTTGTCCTGTTTTATTTCTTGTTATTATTGTGGTATCTATGCTTACCTGAGCCGAGGGTCTATTGGAAACAGCCTCTCTAACTCCACAAAGGTAGGGGTAAGGTCTGCGTACACACTACCCTCCCCAAACCCCACTATGTGGAATTATACTAGGTATGTTATTGTTGTTGTTGTTGTTGTTAATCGTGGTATTCGGGTCAGCTTATTCGCACCTACCACAATTAAAAAAATCTAAGGTACAATATTAGTTGTCTTTTTTAAGAAATATGTTGCTTAAGAAAAACATTTTGTGCAATTAATTCTATAATTCTACTTTCTAATAACACATTTTTTGAGTAGTTCTTTGGAGTCAAGTCTAAAAGTTTTCATGTTGTGATAGAAGAAAATTGTAATTGAAACGGCACCAATAAATTGTTACATGTTTAAATATAAAAATTATAAATGCTAAAGTGAATTCCTGATTGAGTTATTATGTACAACACATATAGCAAATTTCAAGTTAATCCAAATAATGAAATTGGATAGATTCAGTGGCTGCTAGACAAATTGGCTTAATAACATAAGAAAAACGAATTAGGCAGCATTAATAAAGTGCCTATTAGACGAATTAGTCAGTTAGCCAATTAAACTTACTTTTGCTTACTGGGAAAATGCATAAGTACCCCCCTCCCTGACCTATAGCCGGATTACCAACTACACACTCTACCTTTGCGGGATTTTTATTACCCCCGAACTATTTTTAAGTAGAATTATTTGCACCCTTAAAGCTTACGTGGCAGAGTGTGTATTTCACTCTCCTTGGGAGAGTGAGAAGTAAGAAAAAACGATTTTTAGATTATTGTTTTTTGCTTTTTTACCATTTTTAGTGAGATATATAATTTCTTACTTTTTTTTTCCTTTTCCTTTTTCTTTTCCTTTTTCTTTGTCTTTTTCTCTTGCTTCTTTTTTTGTTTCTTCTCTAATTCCGGCGGATATGCACTCGATAGCGACTTTGTCTAACCATTCTTCTTCTATTTATTCTGTTTTTCTTCTTCCTCTTTCTATCCTTTTCATTTTTGTGTGTGAAACGGACCTTCAAACGGAATAAAATCAATCGACCATAACCTTGACGGCGACCTTGAATCAAGATCTAGACGAAAATTATACCGACTCGACCAGATTTGGACAACTGTTTCGGGTGTAAAAGGGTCGTTTCGATGGAGGTTTGTGGCTGGTTTTGAAGGTTTTCTACTGTTTGTTTGGAGCTGGTTTCGAGGGAGGTTTTCAGCTGCGGTTTGGCTGAATTTTGGGACTGGATTTGGCTCGTTTTGGGTGTTGTTTCACTACGTCTTCAGACTGTTTCGCTGAGCTTTAATGGCCAGCTTTCGTGGATGTTTTTTTGGCTGTATTTTGCAACTGATTTTCAGTAGTTTCGAGGTTGGAGTTTGGTGGTGGAGCTGGGTGGAAGAGAGACTGTTTTGGATGGAAAACAGAGCTGTTTTGCTGGGTTTTAGAGCTTTATTTGGCTGGTTTCAATGGAGTTTTAGGGAGGAGAT